ACATTTCTAAGATAGACCAAAAGATGCTAAGTAGCGCAGCGGGGACTCCCATGGCTACCCCTGCCCACCACAGTCCCGTTCCTCTGATGGTGGTGACCCCCTTTAACTTCCCTCATGTTTCTTTTGGCAATTCTTCTATAATTTTAAATAACATATTTATGCAAGTATTCATATCTTTATTAGTTTTAGATGTCACCTAGTCTTTTTTCTCTGACATTCTCCCCCTAAAAAAAATTCATTTTGCTTTTTTTTCTTAAGCAGGTTTACTGGGATAGAATTCCTACACCTCAATTCACCTGCCCAGAGTGTGCAATACCGTGGTTTTGGTGAATTCCCAGAAAGGTTCAGCCATCACTACAACTTTAGCATACTGCTGTCATCTCAAGAAGAGACCTCCTAGCTTTTAGCAGTCAGCCCCAAACCCCTCCTCCCTGCGCTCGCTACGCAGGCTGCATGTGGGCCCTCCACTGAGCGGCCTCTGAAACCTCAGCCTGGAAGGGCTGGGATGAAGCTGCAGCTGTGCTACCGCCACCTTTGTGGAGCACCTCAGCGCAGCACACAGGCTCCGATGTGTTTTAGGAAGAAAGAAAAAGCACAAAGAAGGGGAAGAGAAGTGCTACTTCAGAGAGGTGGGTTCATCAAAACAGACGGTTCAGGTTGGTGGCAATCTACTTCTACAAACTTATTCTTTTTTTAAACATTTTTATTTATTTATTTATTTATGTGTGTGTGTGTGTGTGTGTGTGTGTGTGTGTGTGTGTGTGGCCAGCTCAGCCCACCAGGGGGCAGGGCTGGCTGGCATGTGGTGCTGGGGGATTGAACCGCAGTCCCTGTGCTTTACTAAGCTTGTTCTAAGTAGGTGCTTTAGACCACTGAGCCATCTCACCAGCCCCTACAAACTTATTCTAAAAGATGAAGCCCATTAGGGATATGTACAAGGATTTATTTGCAAGGATGTTCATGATAGCACTGTTTAATAAATAATTTTTTAAAATAAAAGTTTCATGCTCTCAAGTAGGAAATGAGTTAAATAAACTGCAGCCTGGTCCTGTAACAAAGTCAGTGAAACACCACTGATCCCTAGAGTGGAGGAAGAGGATCCTCCAGGAGGCTGGGAAAATGTCTGACAGATGAAGAGGAAGAGGGCAGGGGATGAAGCAACGTGACTATGTATTTTCAAAGGGGGAATGCTGGGAGGACAGATATCCAGGTGTGCTTCTTGGTTTTCATTTTACAAATATATCATTTGTATGTTTTAAAAGCTCTAGATTTTGTTTCTGTCACAAGGGAAGTTACTTCAAGAAAATATTTCCTATCAGAGGATGAAGTGCCAGGATACTGCTGGGCTTGTACAGCTGGGGACCAGAGCAAGGGTTCTGGGGTTTCACCTTTGCTTTTGCTGGACTTTGCACTCTAACATCCTAGGGACACCCAGTCTCCGCCACACCAGGAGTATCCCTACTGCTGAAGCCAGAGACAGTGGTCCTCCTACCCTGAGCAGGTGCCCTTCGAATCCTCTGCATACAGATAATGGGAACTGACCTGTCGACTGGGTCACACAGGAGATCTTGTACGACAGCCACACGCTTGCCAAACAGAGGAAGGTGGCTATGAAGCCGAAGATCTGCAAGGGCACGAGAGAGAAGTTCATGGGCTACTGAGCTCACCCTTGGGCAGCGCTGTCTGCTCAGTCGTGTGCCTGTCCCACACTCTGTGGCTGAAGGGAGCATGGGAGTCCTGACTGCCTCGTCCTCTGGGACACAGTGGCCCAGCTGCCAGCCTCAGGTCTCCTGGGTTCTGCTCACGTCAGGCATGGTACCTGGGCCTCCACCTTCAGCCTTCCCACTCTATACAACCCCAGTGCCTGGACTTGGGTTATATTCACAACTGAGTTGGGCCCAACCCACTGGACTTTAATGTTCAAATGGGTTTCTTAATGTGGTGGCACTGTTTGAAATGACTTTCTGTGTAAGAGCCAGAGACTGAGGCCTGTATAGCTAGTCTTTAAATAATACGAGCCTAAAATGAAATAAGGCAGCATTCTTTCCCCTCAGGTCTGCCAGGTGCTTGAGTGTAAGGTCAAGGGTGAGCAACCACACCTGGTGCCCCACAAACTGTAAGCCCTGAACTCACATTCTTCACCTGTGCTCAGCATAGGCGGGTAAAACCCGCTGAACACTGACCCTGTTGGTGAGCTGACTCCTAACTTCCCAGTCTTGCCCCCCTGCTCACTTCACAGCTACACAAATGGAGATGGGAGGTCAGTTGTGTCCACAGTCACAGGATGAGCCAGGGTCAGCTATACCCAGGTGAGCTCAGGGCCCCGACTCGAGCTCTGGCTCTGCAGACGACAGTCTAGGGGTCCTCGGGCCCAAAGGCCTACAGGTCACCATGCTCCCATTAGTGCCCAGCTGAAGTGACCAGCTGACATCCTACAGGGATGGCCCAGGGGCAGCCTGATGCAGGGCATGGTTTCAACAAGGTTTGATTTTCTTTTCAAGCCTGGATGTTGGGTTACATAAAGCGCTGCTCCCACCAGCCTCCGCCTGCTTCCACCCTGAGTGCCTCTTCCTTGGCTCCCTTTGTACCAAGAGTCTGCACCACATGATTAGTCTATTAGAGCCTGTCCGGGCCTCTCATTGTCTGTTCTGCACAATTAGCACATTATATACACACCAGTTGCCAACTGTCTGTACTGCATAATTGAACGGTTTATTATTATATCACTGCAGAACGCTATTCTGGTCGACAATGTCATGCTTGCTAACTGTTTCATGTGAGCTGGCCTCACCTGCTAAGCTGGATAACTACTTTCTGTGCACAGCGGCTGTGCGGATCGGAACCCAACTGGCCCTGTTTTAAGTGGTGCTTCAAGAGAGGTCTCTGGGCTGTGTGAACCACCAAAGGCCCTGGTGGTCCACCTAGAACTGGCTGCTATGGGCCCAAGTGTCCAGGTCTTTGGAGCAGCTTCTGGTTGGGTTGGGGAGAAAATCAATTCTAGGAAAGGCCCCAGAAACCAATCCCTTTTCTGCCCCCATCAGGAAAAAAATTAGCATGCGAGATATGAATTCATTCCTGAAGCCTCAAGCACATTCTCACCGCTCCAGCCACCAGTCCGCTCTGGTTGTAACTTTTGGAAGCTGCCACGATGGAGGCGATGAGAAGGAGCAGGGTACCGATCAAATAGTGCAGAAGTTCCTGGGGTGAAAACAAAGCACAGGGGTGAGTAGGGAGGTCCGCTCTGGGTCCTCAGGGAACCACCAGCCATCCAAAGGGACAATGAGAAGGGAGGAAGGGTTCTTCCTTTTCTCCCTAGCAACACTGTGGCAGGAGTGGCACAGCTCACAGGCAGCCAGAGGGCAGCTAACCAGGAAGAGGCCACGCCTTAAAGAAAAGATGGAGGGTGGCAGGAAGGACAGCAGACGTGGAAAAAGGAAGCTTCTCAGGTGAGCAGCAGCAGCCACTGAGGGCTGCTCCGCTCCTGAGGTCAATTTGCAGACAGTGCCTTGACCTTTGACTAAAGCTGTTATAAGCAAATGAGCTTCTTGAACCATCCACAGGGGAGAGTGGAAAGGAAATTCCTTTATGGACACAACCTGAGGAGCAAAGCCCTAAAAGCGATATGGGCCCTTCTCTCCATTTCAGAGAAAGCTCCAGACTAACAACATGTGGCTGACCACAGCACCACTCTACTCCATCAGTCACCCCAGGCATGGGCTGCAGGCACTGGTTCCTGCGGACCCCTCAGATTCAGGGTCAGAGCCTAGTGTGAGGCTGGCAGAGTATCTGCGGGGTGCTGGAGCAGCTGGCTTTCCTAAGGAAACCTAGGTTACCCTTCTGTGGTTCCCTCTTTTCTCTCTTGACATACAACCTATCTGCCAGTCAGCCTACTGGCAGGTCTGACTCTCTATGGCTGCAGGTGTTCATTTCTACCCTTCTTATTCCTTGGGATTAAAATCATATCTTTGCAGGCCTGGAAGAGGCTGGCCCTCAGGCACTGAGCAGCACAGGAAAGCTTATACCATACCTTCCTGCTCCCTCTGAACACTAGATCTGAGAGGTGGGACCGAGCACTCACTGTGATTCCTGAATGCCTCCACTGCCAGCTATCTTCAGTAAGGATTTAGAAATTATTCCTCTATGAAATTCTGCCCATTTGAGTAGCAGCTACCATATTTTGGAAAATACTTTTTTCTTTTTGGTACTGGGGATTGAACCCAGGGCTTCTCACCATGCTACATTTTCATTTTCTAGTTTGAAACTCTTACTGCTAAGTTGCTCAGGCTTCTGGGATCTACAGTCCTCCTGCCTCAGCCTCCCAGAGTGCTGGTATTACAGATGTGCACAACCACACCCAGCTTATCCTTTCCATTTCAAAGCTGCAGTTCTTCCCTAAACCTGCCAAATCAAAGACCTGGTTTCTCCTTAGTGCCCAGAGAAGCATGTTGTAAGGCAGACCACAAAGAATGCCTCCAAGATTCTTCCCCATAAAGAGGAAAGAAAACTGACTCAACTGAAAGGTGCCTCAACAGTACCCAGCTACAAAGTAGGCTTGAGCCTGTGCTTCCCACATTTGCTTTCCAGCCAGCCCTCTTTGTTCCTGTCCTCTGGGTTCCGTTTTCTTATTTGCCTGTTCTGATCAGTATCAGGGATACCAAGACAAGCTTGTACTCCAGAAAGGCAGAAATGTGAAAGGGGCCCTGGAATATGTGAAACAGGAGACTCAAAATAACACAGAAGGTAATAATGTTAAATGGGAATGATTAAAGAATGAAATCAAGAGGCAGAGGCTGTCAGATTGGATTAAAAATAACATCAACAAGATCTAATGCCCCTTTTCATGATAAAAGCACATAGCAAAGTCGAACTAGACGAGAACTTCCTCAGTCTGATCAAGAGCATTTATAAAAGCTCACACCTAACATCATATTAATGATGACAGATGGAGGGCTTCTGTCTTCTAAGATCAGGAAAAAGATAATTACACCTGCTCTGGCTGGTCAATGTATTTTATGTATTTGTATATGTATTTGGTCTTGCATAAGGCAAGACAACAAAATAAAAGGCAAGACCCAGATTAGACAGGAAGAAGTAAAATGATCTGAGTTCAATCCCCGGTTCTGAAAAAAAAAAAAAAAAAAAAAAAAAAAAATCCTAAGAAGTCTACCAAAACTCTATTAGCAAGTAAAGGAATTCAGTAAGATTCAGGATACAAATCAATGTACAGAAATTAGTGTCCAGAATTAATTATGTGCTTGTACACTTGCAACAAGCAATCTGAAGACGAAAGTAAAAATTCCACATGAAATAGCACCAAAAAGAGTAAAGCACTCCAAAAACTACAAAATATCCTTTAAAAAATGAAAGCAGAAAGCAGAATGAATAATTGGAGGAGCCTGTCCTGTTCTCAGAGCATCAGGCAACATGGCTCAAAGGGCAGTGCTCCCCAGACCTAGCTATTCAGGGAATTCCTATTAGAATCCCAGATGATTTCTTTGCAGAAATCCAAAAGCTAATTCTAAAATTCACAAAGAATTGCAATGACTTGAAGTAATCCTGGAAAAGAAATTGGGAAGGCTCACATTTCATAATTTTACAATTTAACACAAAGCTATAATAATCAAGATAGTGTGGTTTTGACATAAATGTAGATATACAGATCAATAAAATAGAACTAAGAGTCAGAAATAAATCCATGTATTTATGGACAAGTGGCTTTGGACAGTGGTGTCAGGATCACTCAGTGGGGAAAGTACATGTGTTCAACAGATGGTGTTAGAACAACTCGCCATCTATCTGCATTGCCAACTGATGGCATTACCTTACCTCACACCATCTACAAAAATAACACAAAGTGGATCAAAAACCTAACCTGAAATCTAAAACTAAAATCTTTAGATGAGGGGCTGGGGAGATGGCTCAGTAAGATAAGCGCTTAACTGGCAAACGCAAGGCTCTGAGTTCAATACCTGGTTCCACCAAATAAATAAATAAATAAATAAATAAATAAATAAAAAGAGACAACCCACAGTGTGGGAAAAAATTAAAAATAAAAGTAAAAATAAAATAAAATCTTTAGATGAAAAGACAGGTAAATCTTGTTGATCTTAGATTTCTTTAGCATGATACAAAAACATGAGCAAAAAGAAGAAAATGTTAGATAAATTGGGTTTATCAAAATTTAAAACTTATTCTTGGGCTGGTGAGATGGCTCAGTGGTCTAAGCACCTACCTGAAACAAGCTTGGCAAAGCACAGGGACCGCGGTTCAATCCCCCAGCACCACATGCCAGCCAGCCCCACCCCCTGGTGGGCTGAGCTGGCCCCCCCCACACACACACACACAAATAAATAAATATTTAAAAAAAAAACTTATTCTTTAAATGATATCATCCAGTAAGTAAAAAACAATCAGGAAAATAGAAGAAACTATTTTCAAGTCATAAATATGATAACAGACTTCTAACTTGAATATAGAAAAAACTTACAATTTGGTAATAAAAAGACAGTCTAATTAGAAAACAGGCAGAGATCTGAACAGACATTACTTCAAAGAAACTATAAAAATATTTAAAAGGCACATGAAAAAATCACTGACACCATTAGTTTTCAGAGAAATGCAAATCAAAATCACAAGTGATACCACTGAACACTCAAATGTCAGAGTCTGAAATTCAGATAACAAGTGTTTGCAAGAAGTGGAGCCACCACAGCCGTCACACGCTGCTAGAAGCACTATCGAATAGGGCAGCCACTTTGGCCCCCAGTCTGGCAGTTTCTCAAAGCAATTAAACAAAGTTACCACACAACCCAACAATTCTACTCTTAGATATGTACTGAAGAAAAATGAAAACATGTCCACACAAACTACTATGTAAATGTTTATAGCAGCATTATTCATAACTGCCACATGGTGAAAACAACCCAAAAGCCCATCAATGAATGAAAACCAAAATGTGGTATAACTACACAAAGGATTATTATCTGGTTATAAAAAGAATGAAAAGCCAGGTGTGGTGTTGTGGTGTTGGTGCACGCTTGTATCCTAGCACTTGGGAGGCTGAGGCACGCACACACACACACACACACACACACACACACAGAGACACACACACACATGCAGGAAGTACTGATATGCCACACACAGATGAACCACAAAAACTTTCTGTTAAAAGGATCTAATCCTCACAAAAGACGATGTATATGACTCCACTTCCAAGAAATATCTAAAGTGGGAACATTTTAGAGGCAAAAAGTAGTTAAGTAGTTATTCAGGACTGGAGGAGATGGGAATTAGGAAAGTGGGGCCTGAGAGATAACTCAGCGGTCTAAAGTGCCTGCTTAGGCAAGCTTAGGCATGCACAAGGGACTGTGGTTTGATCCCCGGTACCACATACTGTGCCAGTCCTGCCCTCCGGGTGGGCTGAGCCAACAAAAAAAAAAAAAAAAAAAGGGAAGTGACAACTAAAGGGGATGAAATTTCTGTCTGAGATGATACAAGTGTTCTAAAAGTGACTGTGGTTGTGTGTGGACAACTCTGGAAATATACTACAGCCTTTGGTATTGTAAACTTTAAATGTGTGACTGGCATGACATGGGAACTATATGTTAGTAAAGCTTTTAAGAAAATAATACAGTGGGGACAAAAAGAAAAATACTACAGCTGGAAGAACTCAGCATCTTCTGCTCTGTCTTCTCAGCCCCAGCCAGTCCTTTTTAGCCTCCCAAAGATGTTCATCAACGCTCCCACACTGTAAATGCTCATCGTCCATTCCAGCTCTTCTTTCCATTTCCCTCTCCGACTCACACACACAGCCTATCATTTGAGAAAATAAGCACTGAGGCAAGGCAGGCGCATTCTAGAAGCCAGCAGGAGATCAGATGGGGCTGGAGGGCTGGAGGGCTGGAGCAGCAGGGAGTGGCTCAGAGGGGCATGCAGGTGGGAAGGACCCTGTTGGTTCACTGTCCAGCCAATGCCTGGCTTCTGCGTGGGAAGAGCAGGGTGATCCCTTACCGACAGGGGCCAACTGATACAGGTGAGCACGCGGTAGAAGCGGAAGAGGTGCACCAGGTAAAAGATGAGGATCATTATCAAGTCGCAAATGGTGACCACTTCAAAGTAGCTGTAGGCACTGTAGTCAGTCCATAGGGAGCTCCGCACGCAGATGAAGGCAATCAGCAGCGTGACCTGAGAGGTGGAATCACAGAGATATCAGAAGAATGCCTTTCCAAGACAGGCACCTGGAACAAACAAACTAAAGCCAAGTAAGTGTCCTCCTAGCAGGCCAGAACTAGCACACCACAACAATTCATTATGTGGTTATTTCCACATAAACTGGCTGGAAGGTGGAAAGAGTGCCGTTTCATACACTCTGAGCTTTGACACACATGCTGGTTATGAAAGCTGAGTCTTTCCTGAAGTTCACTATGTTGTGCAGGGAGGGTGACTTCGCAGAGAAGAGCAGGAGCATAGGAAAACAAAGCACAACTATCCCATTTACTTGCTAGATTTCCCCAGAGGAAAGGGTAGAGGACAGTGTTATCCTAGACCTGGGATTGCATATTGGGTTGAGCCATATAAAGTTGCCCATATCTGTCTGCTTTAGATCTGCAGAAGGCAATTTGCTCATTACACCTACCAGTTGGCTGGCAATAAATTACCCTTTTAGTGATTCGATGTGTGGTACACATGGCCTCAGAGGCCTTGCAGAACCCTTGCTAGGAAGACAAAATCAGCCCTGTTTTCTAAGGGAGGCAGAGGCACACAGATCCAATAATTAGGCCAACGCTACTCAACTTGTAAGTAGTAGATATGTATTTGAATTCAGGTCTGACTCTAGGGACAATGTTCTTCTGTGAAGGGCCACTTGGACGGCTCTTTCAAACAGCATTTGGGTCTTCCTCAGTGTATTGATACATACAGAGCTGGCTAGGATATCTCTTTATCCCCTCAAATGGCTTCAAGCAATGCAAATAGGTCTAGGGAAAGTGCTGTTGGTTGTGTAGTCTTTAAAACAATGGGACAGGTCAGTGGTGCCCTGCCTATAGCTCCCAAGCAGTATGCGTGAGCTAGGCCGAGTGAATGATGGTATCAGCTGGGATTGAGCTTCAAGAAAGAAGCCCTAACATCTCAGGGTGTGTGATTATACACCAAAACAGAAGCACTGGACCCCAAAACACTAGATACTGCCCCAATCTCTCTCTGTCTCTCTCTGTCTCTCCCCCCCCCATATTGCAGAGGTGATTTCATGCCTCCTACCTAGTCCAGCTCACAGCACTCAAATACCTCTCATCTCTCCCTCAGTCACTCACCCCTGAGCCACTCCCCTCTTCATGAATAACATCCAGGTTTGGCCCTGAGACAGGGCCTTTGTTCCAGTTAGCCTTCATTTTAGCTGGATTTAGGATCCTCTTGGTGTGTATTGTACTGGAAGTGGTAGCTTGGCATTACTTGTTGGAATTTCAACGTTTTCCCTGGGATTACAAATACAAACTTTACTGGACCACAGTGAGGTCCAGGAAGGGTTGTCTATAGTCCTTCATGTGAGATGCAGGTGTTCTTTCCCCAGCTTAAGCCCTTGTCAAAAAGCAAAGAATGGCGGATGTGGAATCCTGGTTGAGATGTTTGCTCATCCCAGTGCATGTGGTGAAAGCGCCTCAGAAATTACTGCTGCATGAATGAGCAGAGTCAGGGGCAGAACTAATGAGCAATTCCTGAAGGAACAGGTCAGGTCCATAACATTGGCAGCATATGGGCAGGATGCGAACGTAGACTCCAAGAGAGAAGATTCCAAGGTAAAAACCTTGAAGGCCTTTCATTTCTTTTCTTTTTTTTAAATTTTTTTATTTATTTGAGAGAGAGAGAGAGAGAGAGAGAGAGAGAGAGAGAGAGTGTGTGGTGTGTGTGTGTGGCCAGCTCAGCCCACCAGGGGGCGTGGCTGGCTGGCATGTGGTGCTGGGGGATAGAACCGCGGTCCCTGATGCTTTGCTAAGCTTGTTCTAAGTAGGTGCTTTAGACCACTGAGCCATCTCTCCAGCCCCCTTGAAGGCCTTTCAAAAAGGACAAAACCCTACTCACTTCACATAGGTGACAGACCAAACCATAACGGTTAAATGTGTACAATTTTAGGATCTATTTTATTTTATTTTTTTTTTTTTTATTTATTTTTTTTTTTTTGCAGAACCGGGGATTGAACTCAGGCCCTTGCGCTTGCCAGGGAAGTGCTTATTCCACTGAGCCATCTCCCCAGCCCCCTTTAGGATCTATTTTAAAAACACAGTGAATCTAGGACAAATATTATTTTATATTGCCTCTTTCCTACGACAGTGATTCTCAAAGGGTGTTCTGTGGGTGGGCATGCCCGCCTGTGTGTGACTTTGCATGTTACAAGACATTTGGCAATTTCTGGATGGATTTTTGTTGCCACAACTGGGGCAAGGTACGCTACTAGGATTTAACTGGTAGATGCCAGTGTTTCTGCTCAAAACCCCAGTGCACGTGATAGCACCCAAAATAAAGAATTCTGATGAAAATATTGTACTGCTGTTGAAAAATGTCAGTTAGCGATGAGAATCAAATCAAATAATGAAACTAATTCCAAAATGGTCAATGGTGAAAATGCTTCTGTTTTCTGCAGCCCCTTATTTTTAGCACTCTATCAAGGTCCTCAGTACAGTAATAGGCAAAACAGGAAAAAAGGAATTGGCTAAATGCTTGTGCACGAAGAGCGCTCTGTTTAACAGATAAAAAACATAAGAGTGTTGCCCTGACAAAGCGGCCCACGATATTTGCATAGTCCCCTTTGCTAATAAGCAGCGGGAGTGGTCTCATCTTTTCAGTTCCTCTGCAGCCAGCCAGCCATGACAATACAATGACTCACACCTGGAGCTGAGCTAGGGCTGTGCGGGGAGACTGCCTCCCTCAAGCGTGCGCGAGCCGCATCTCCACGCCACCCATATTTGGGGAGGTGTGTGGGTCTTCCCAGTCCTCCAGTGATATCCCTGTGATCTGCAGTATCTTTTTTCTAGGCCTATCTCAAAGCACATAATTTGGGATTATGCAGTACAATGTCTGAGAGGCAAGTTTGTACTCTGAATTTCATGTAGAAATTAATACAATTTTTATAACTGTTCATGAATGACAGCTGGCTCTTTCTTCATAGCGACACAAGGATGTACAAGTTCCCCCCCAAGACAAAAGGGGCCTGGGTCGGTCTGGGCCCCTGGAGCACCTTGGGGCTGAGTGCTGTGCAGCAGGAAGTACTGGCTGTCACAAGCCCTCTAACCTCTCTGGGACTCCTGCTTGTGAACTTAAGCTTCTGAATTCCGTCCACTTGCTCACAGGCCACTCACCATGCGTCCTTCTTTAGGAAAGCCTTGTTTTAGAAAACCTAAGTCGGCATGCAGTGTGTGCTCAGGCAGGCTCCAAAAAGCTTCCTTTCACGCAAGGACTCACTCATACCAGTATGAAGTAGACCTGAGTGTGCATGCGCACATGTACACACATGCATGCACACAGATAGCAACATTTTCAGAAATTCTGAGGCCAGCAGTAGCATCTAAATTCTGGGGACACTGAGTCATTTAGATCAACAGTTGGGGAGCAACAACTAGAAGGTCAAAGCAGAAGAAAGAACTAGACACTGAAGGCCCCCAGGTGTCCACTTTGCCTCCTTCTCAGCCCTCCTGTTGCCAGCAGGAAAGGAAACCTAAGCTAGGTGCTGCGGAGCATGCTGGTGATTTCAGCACTCCGGGAGGCTCAGGCAGAAGGACTGCAAGTTCATGTCTTGCCTGGGACCTTAGTGAGACCCTGTCTCAAAAGTAAAAGGCCTAGGGATGTAGGTCAGTGTAAAGACGCTAGGTTCAATCCTCAGTGCAGAATGAAACAAAAAGTAAACCCACCAGGCTGCCTGAGTTGAGAGATGCCAGGTGAGGCAGCTGCGAGATGCACAGGGAGGCCCGCCAGCTGCCTGGGAGACAGAGGTGCTTCCACTGGAGAAACACATTATGCTTCCAAAGGTTTCCTTATTTCTTAAGGTGCCACCCAGCCCCCTTCATGTACTTTTTTATATATGCAACTATCATCAAAGTTGAAAATGAAATACCTAGCAGAGGCCCAGGAATCTAAAGATAAAGCAACAAGAATCTGCAACCCAAAGCAAGGTTCCCCGGACTGGCTGTGATGCTTTGCAGTTACTAGAGTCACCTGAGATTAGGGACGTCCCTGGTCCCTGAACCCACAACCCTCCTGACTCCACTCTTTCTGAATTCTTACTAAAAGAAGCCACCCTTTTATGAAGGCTGTGTGAGCTTCAGTTTCACCGAAGATAAGAAAGTTGAAATGCACAAGAGATGCAACTGTGCCTGAGGTCCGCACTCAAGTGGACACCTGCCTTCAGGGTGTCATGCACTTCCTAGGTTCTCAGCTGGGTGAGCACCTCTCCAGGAAGGGGTTTTGAAAAATTTAAAATTTTTAAATTTCTGGAAACATCCGAAGAGGCAGCTTTCTGAAGATGCCCTCTGTCTAGCTGGACTGAGGAGGCTGGTGTAGTCACAGAGACCCTGCCATGCATCACTTGCAGCCTGAGCCAGGGAAGACTCCCTGTGTGGTCCCGAGCCTCCATGCCATGGCCATCTGAGCCACCAAGTGTGTTTTGTGTGTGGCCGAAGATGTCATCAGGCACCTTTGTTCTGGGATCCCCGGGCTGGATGCTGGCGTCACCCAACTCCACCCTCCCGTTTCTGACCTTGGGTGGTACTTCAAGGAGAGCCTGGCAGGCGCATAGGGGGGTAACTGATGAAAGCCACCACCAAAGTTCCCAGACCCAATGCTGCGAGGCCTTTCTGGAAGAGCCCACGAGATGAAAGCCAGGCTTGCTCAAAACAAGTCAAGAGTCACGGATGATGATCTGGTGGCTGAAAACCACACTTGTAAATTCTGGCAGGCCCACAAATGGCTTGGCTTGGCTTGGCACTGGGCAAGTAGTAAGATGAATTTAGTAGTTCCTAAATCTGACTAAATTCTGCTGTTTCCAAGCAAATTAACCTCAGCTCCCTGTTTAAAGATTCCATTACAGTAGTATCATAGAATAGACTTTGTGCAATGTCTGGAGACACCTTTGGTTGTTGCAAGCAGGGAATAGGGAGAGACTGGCATATTGGAGTGGAGGGGCAAGATGGCCTCTGGCT